TCCACATTAATCCTCTGACAGTTGCACACCTCCCAGGATTTGAAATGCTATTCTGCAAATCGCTGAATGAATCATTGATCAGTAATTCTCAAATCTTACTCAGAAAAGTCAAGAATGTTTTCTTCTAACTCAATCAGCACCCATTTCTCCTCCTCCTGCAAGTAAATATAATGAAGTCAACTTCAACTATGCCAATGAATCACAAAATTAGAGAATGCCAAAGTTGGAAATAGTTTTAGATATGGTTTAGTCCGGTGATTCTCAACCCTGCATACACATTAGAATCACCAGAACAGCTTTTAAAATAAACTGATGTTTGGTCTCCACCCCTTAGATTCTATTTAATTAGTCTGGAATGAAGGCATTTTTATAAGCCTTGTGATTTTTGTGATTCTAATGTTTAGATTCTAAAGCTAAGCCAGGGTTGAGAACCACTGATTTAATCCAATTCCTTCTCCTAGTTTTACTAAAGAGAAAACTAGAATCCAGAGTGGTGAGCAACTTGCCCAAAGTCATCCAACATGTTAGTGCAAGGTGCACCGAGAGAGATTGTACCAATGGCAAGAATATGTTGATGATGTTTATAATTGTTCTCGTTGGAGTTCATCCCGGAAGCATTTCTTTTTAGTTCACAGAGAACTTATATAAATTATTTTTTACTTTGGCACAGCACTTACGCTTCTGCTAAGGCTGAAATGGGTTCGCATTCCTGACCACAAAAGGACAGAGATGAAATTGTACATTCACACAGCCCGCCCAGTTAGCCAAGCTCCCTAGGAGGCCGCCTGAAGCGTCTAAAAATGCTTCTCTACAATTATCACCCACAGCTGAGAGGCTTCAGTGGGGTACTGAGAAGAAAGAAGGTTGGGAGAGAGAGGAAAGTATTCTCTCCTTGAGGGAGGGAACTGGGAATCAACGGAGAACCAGCTAGCACTGCCAGGAGGTAAGGAGAGGGAAGGAAAAGAATGTAAATGAGTCCAGGGAGCTTCTGCTCCCTCAACAACCAAACAGTGACAGCCTAGCACCACCAGCCCTCGAAGCCTGAGATCCAAAGGCAACGTTAAAAACTGGCTTGGCAATATGGGTATCTTCTTCTTCATTCCAAAATGCGTCTTCCAACACGCACCAAAAAGTAAAGGGTTCACCTGCCCTCCCCAACCCTCTACCTCCGCTCCTCGCCAAGATCTTCTTCACCCAACGTCTCAAAAGAGGGCGGGTCCCAACCTCACGTGACACTGCGGTCACGTGACATGGCCCCGGGGAGCCGAGGCGCGCGTTCCAGCTTCCGGAGCCGGAGGGGGCCCGGCGTCCCCAGCCCCCAGGCCGACGCCACCATGCTGTCCCGCCTGCTAAAAGAACACCAGGCCAAACAGAATGAACGCAAGGAGCTGCAGGGTGAGCCGAGTATCTCCGTTTTCTCTCCGGCCGCGGCCTAGCCTCAGCCCGGAGCCTGGATCTCGAGTGACTACCCATACCCAGGGAAGGACGCCGGCTAGCGGGCCACGGGCACGGGGGAATGGGAATTTCAGGGCGGCTTTTTTTTGAAACTCCTTTCCCTTGCCAGCTGGCTCTGGTCGCTGGGGCAACACTCCTGTCCCCCTCGACAACGCCCCCAACACCCGTGTCGGCCGCAGCTTAGCCCCGCCCCTGCCCCGGAGCGCCCCGCCTGTGGCCCAGGGAGCCTGTCGTCCTGGCGGTGCGAGGCAGCGCCTCTGGAGGGAGGAGGGTGTGGGGAACCCCCAGAGATGGGATTCTTGGGAGGCCCGAAACCACCGGAACGGAGGTGGGGCACTTGTTTCCTGAGCCCGGGCTGGGAATCTCGGAGTTACAGATTTTTCGGAGAAAGAGTGCCTGGGAGTCAGGAGTCCTGGGCGCTGCCACTGACTTCCTGGTGTCCCCGAGTGAGTCCATTTCCCTCCCAGGGTACCAGTTTCCTCACCTCGAAAATGAGAGGTTGCTCTATGTTTTGCAAGGTCCTTTTCAGCTCTGGCATTCAGAGATTAGTTAAGAAATTTCGGCAACTAGAGTCATGAACAGATAGGGAACCTTTAACACTATCCCTCAAAAAACCAAGTCTCCCCTCCAGTTCCTTTTCTCCCTCTCCCCAGAGAAGAGGAGGCGAGAGGCTATCACTGCAGCGACCTGCCTGACAGAAGCTTTGGTGGATCACCTCAATGTGGGGTATGAACCTCTTCTCATCAACGCCAGTTTCCTCCTTCCCCACCCCGCCCAAGTTTAGGCACTGACAAGGTCTGTCCCTCAGGCCGCTGTGGAAGGGGTGGGATGGTGCACTCATTCCCCTATCCTACCCCGCCCCTCCCAGCTCTATGTAGAGAAACTTGAGCCAACTCTGAGCCCTAGCACTGGGCAAGGGAGGAACAGCTGCAGTGGTTAGAGAAGCAGGCAGATTTCCCCTTCCCACATTAACTTCCCTGGCATTTTCAACTTGATGCCATCTGTCCACCTCCCTTCACCCTTCCAAGTCCAGCTGTCACTTCAGCAGGAGGGAGAGCACCCTCCTTCACCACAGCTTACCACCCTCTCCTTCTCTGCCTCCCACCCTCTGGAAAGCCTGGGGAGCAGCTGGCAGGAAAGAGGTGGCACAGCTGGTGATGGTGAGAGTAGAACCTGTGCCAGGAGCTCTGGCAGAACCAGGCTGTCTCTTACCTTCCTGCTGGGTCTCCAGGGGCTACACCCTGCCCCAGCCCTAAATGACAATGCCGGTAACAGCCAAAGACTTGGGAAAGAGCAAAGAATGTTATCTCTTGGCCCCGAGTGAGCCAGAAGTGTGCGGAGATGATTTGCTAGTCTGCCTGTTGGAAGAAAGGCAGGATGGTGCCTTCCACCCCAGGTCAAATAGAACACCTTGGTGTGAATCCAGAGACTGAGTCATCCAAATGAGCCATGCAGGGGCTGGGGTCATCTTCGTTACTCATCTTGAGGGGAGGTTGAGAAAAAGAAGGTTGTGGCTGGAGCCCCTGATCTCCCTTTTCTCCAGGCAGCTGTCTTTACTCAGTGTGAACATAGAAGCAGGTGGTCATTGGGGAAAACCAGGAGTTCAGGAACTCTCAGGGGAGTCTGTTTCAGTTCCCACCTGACCCTTGAGGGTGACCCAGCAGTCTCCCAAAAAGAAGGGACAAGACCTGCCCCTCCCTTTTCCTCCCTCCCACATTGGCGCCTGCTGGGCTCATCATTTGTGAGATTGGCCCAGGCTTCTCCCACTTCTCTTCCTTTGCTAGAGCCCACCCCACTTTCAGCTTAGAGGGCAGCTAAGCCAAAGCCAGATTAGAAAGGGTTTTGTGTTGCTGCCCACGGCTCCTCTCATTCCCCAGAAAGGAAAACAAAGGCTCAGTCTCTCTTGGCCCCTGTCAGGTGTCCTGCCCACTCCCTCAGCCCCCACCAACCCCTTCCCCCCTCCAGCCCCCACACATTCCAATGGGTGGGGGCACCGGATGTGAACTCTCCTGGCTGACTAGAGCTTTGGGGTGGGAAGTGAAAAATTCGTCAGCCAATAAAGGAGAACAATTATTGCAGGGGTGGGGGAGGGCAAAAAACATTGGCAGAAGGTGGGGGACACCAACCCCATGGTAGTAAAACCACAGCATGTGCCTTGATTGAAAAGAAAAACTAGTGCCTAAGGCAGAAGGGAGGGAGCGTATGTGTGTTCCTTGATCTGTGTGGGCGAAGGCGAAGACTTGGGAGAGCAACTGAGAGCAGAGAAGAAACCCCTGGGATATCCTCTTTTGACCCAGGGTTCCTGGGGAGGGGGTTTGTTCTCCCATCCTACCCCAGATTCAGGGAGGGGCCCAGTTTCCCTCTCCAACCTCTTGCATAGATCCCTAGGCTTCCAATCACTGCCAGATGTGTCCTTCCTGTTGCATTTTCCCGGTTTTTACATGCCCCTTTTCCCTCCCAGCTTCTTCCTCAGGGATATCGCCCTCCCCACTCACCCCCGTTTTCCCTCCCCCCTCACCCCCGTTTTCCCTCCCTTCCCCCACTCAGCTGCAGGAACTCCTTTTGGGGGTTGGAGCTGGTATGTTTCTAGTCAGCTCCCAGCTTGGCTCTCCTGGGAATCCTGGGAGTGAGAGGGAGGAGCTGGATTTATTTGCATGTACTGGTAGTCATTTGCATCGCATCCAAAAATGGCCAAATGATGAGCCCCGACTCTTGGCTGAACTCCCACTGCTGCACTGGGATATTAGTCCTGGAGACCACCCCCAGCTAGTTGGGCGAGCTGATCTCCTCCTTCCTCCAACCCCCTAGTGTAGCCCAGGCCTACATGAACCAGAGAAAGCTGGACCATGAGGTGAAGACCCTACAGGTGCAGGCTGCCCAATTTGCCAAGCAGACAGGCCAGTGGATTGGAATGGTGGAGAACTTCAACCAAGCACTCAAGGTGGGCCATACTCCCTACCTCACCACCCCAATACTGCACCCCCCTTGGCTGCCTCCAGTCTGGTTACCTCAGGTTTAGGGTTAAGGAGGAAGTAGGGTGGTCCCAGAGACCCCATCTATAGCCCCAGTGTCAGAAAAGGTAGAGAAAGAAAGAAAAGCAGTTGGTAGGTCCAAGTAAAGCCTTTGCCAGGAGATGAATAAAAAGTATCCCCAGACTGGAAGCTACACTCTACCCATTCTGATGCCTGGGCTCCCACCTCCTCTCCCCCTTCCCAGGAAATTGGGGATGTGGAGAACTGGGCTCGGAGCATCGAGCTGGACATGCGCACCATTGCCACTGCACTGGAATATGTCTACAAAGGGCAGCTGCAGTCCGCCCCTTCCTAGCCCCTGTTCCCTCCCCCTCCACCCATCCCTCCTGCCTCACCCACAGCAGGAAGGAGGGAGACTGACAAGCCTTGAATAAAACACACGCCTCCATTTCTCTGTGGTGTGTTTCCAAGAGCTACTAGCGCCAATGTCAGGGGTGGGAGTGGAAGGTTCAAAGGCGGTTTCTCTGAGGGACAGGTACCTTTTGGGTAGAGGGTGGAACTAGCTTCCTCTTACTGTCCCACCTCTTTTCTCCTCCTCGGTGCTTGTGCAAGTGTCTGTTAGGCAAGTGGAGTGTGGGAGTTCCCATCCCTCCCCAGAGAAGGTCCTAGTAGCCCTGCACCAGGCTTCCTAATTCAGGACCTGTTTCCTACGATAGAGAAACAAAGCAAGGCACAGGCCTGGTCCCCAGCCCTGGCTCTCTGCCTCTCCACGTGCTCACAGCCTCTCCCAGGCTAATACTAAGCAGTGTCATGAGTCTGAGCCAGGTGGGAGATTAATTCTTGGGGACACTTGAGGGCTGAGAAGGGGGAGGAATGACAGGTCCAGTAACAGTTACCAGCAGCAGTGCAGCTGCCATCCTTGACAGCTCCCTCCTCCTCAGAGACCACGACATAGATGGTCAGGAACCCTGGCTGAGAAAGACAGCCGAGGGGCGGGGGGAGCCTCGGCAAATCGCCTCTGCCAAGTCCTGGCCTTAGCCAAGCCAGCTCCAGCTTCTCTGGCTCCTCCTCCTCCTCAACCCTATCCCCATCCGTCACACATACACTTAATGCGCCTCGCATCCAAGTCCACCCACTCTGGACTTTGGCCTTAGCAGTAGCTAGGGTGGGAGGCTGGGAAGACCGGGAGCAGTCTCAAACAAAAGCAAGAGCAGCAGCTTCGGGCGCTGTAGTACCTGCCAGCTTTCCCCATAGGAGGTAAGTGGATACTGGGTGCTAGGGGAACTCTGAGAAGAACAGCTAGATATTACACGTATTGGCAACTCACAGCTTTCAGCTTTTAACATGCTTCCTCACACATTATCGCCTTTCATCCTCCACAACTCTGAGGTGGACCTGGTTGGTCTTAGCCTCACTTGGTAGATGGGAGAACAGTTCGGAGACACAATGAGATGCTCAGCATCACACAGCAAATCTGAGGCCACCAGGACTAAATGCAGGGCTCTTGGCCCTGTACATCATTGCAAACACAAGACCCAGGTTGCATATAGAAGGTTCAGTGTCCCAAGTGCGTGGGCCGGTAATCCCAGCACTTTGGGAGGCTGAGGCAGGTGGATCACGAGGCCAGGAGATCGAGACCATCCTGACTAACACAGTGAAACCCCATCTCTACTAAAACTACAAAAAAAATTAGCCAGGTGTGGTGGCATGCACCTGTAATCCCAGCTACTCGGGAGACTGAGGCAGGAGAATCGCTTGAACCCGGGAGACAGAGGTTGCAGTGAGCCAAGATCATGCCACTGCACTCCAGTCTGGGTGACAGAGTGAGACTCCATCTCAAAAGAAAAAATAGGGGCCGGGCGCGGTGGCTCACGCCTGTAATCCCAGCACTTTGGGAGGCCGAGGTGGGCAGATCACGAGGTCAAG